TCAATAGTTAGAAGAAAAAAGCCAATATCACTTAAATAAATGTTAAAAAAAGATTCAATAAAATTCAGAAGCCATTCCTATTTGTTGTAAAGCAGGAATAGAATAAAATGATAGATAATCTCTCCAAAACCAATAGCTGCCATCATCCTTAACTGTAAAATTACCAGAGGCATTTCAAGACAATTATCACTTCTCTTGTTTAACCAAGTCTTGGAGTTTCAGTCCAATGTAATAAAGACCTAAAATAGAAATACATTGTGACTATTGGAAAAGAGGCTAAAGCAACTGTTATTTTCAGATAAAACAACAAACCTACAAAAAAAGTAAATAGACTTTTATTGAAGTCCACTAAGATAATTAAAATAGTGAACATGGGAATCTAGTTACTACTGCTGTATACCTATTAGAAATAATGGAAATAAACCAAATCCACACACACAAAAAGTTATAACATAAAAAGTGTAAATTAAACTGTACTTTTTATTAGCCAAACAATAGCAATTTTTAATAATTTCATTAAGAATGATGGTTGTTTTGATGATAGCAATAAAAGAAGATTCAAATTGCTAGTGATGGTACACGTCAAATCTTTTTCAAGAGTTAAGACTTTTAAATGCTTACATCCCTTGATTCACTAGTTCCTCTTCTATGAATCTATTCTAAAGTAATAATCAGAGATTAAACAGAAAGATTTATACAGAAAGATGTTCACTACAGTGTTATTTATACATAAAACTGGAAGTAACTTACACATTCAGCAACAGGAAAATAGTGAAACTAAAGCACAGCCCTAAAATGGAATGTTAGGCAAACATTAAAAAGAAGTTTTTTCAAAGAATTTTTAAGGAAAACAAAGGGAAACATTCAAGATTTAATGTTAGATACATCCAGGCCAGCTACACAGCCAGCCTGATGCCCAACTGCCGGGGGTCCTGAAACAAACGGGCTGTAGGCCTTAGCCCATCCCTCACCCCACCCCCGAACTAGATCTTGAATGTACTTATAAACCACGGTTGTTTCTCTGGCATGTATGACTTATCTTCTCATGTCCTTCACCAAATTTCTGCTTAGATTTTTCTAATTCATTTTTAAGGGTTGCTTTTGCAATGACGATGTTAATATTTGGTGTGTTAAAAAAAAAAAAAAAGGGGCCGGCCCGGTGGCGCACTGCTACAGTGCGCCGCTTGGGAGTGTGGAGGCGCTCCCGCCGAGGGTTCGGATCCCACATACGGACCGGTTCCCGCTCACTGGCTGAGCGAGGTGCGGGTGTAACACCGAGGGCTGCGATCCCGTTGCCGGTCCGGTACGGGCGCGACACTGAGAGTTGCGATCCGTTGCCGGACACGAAAAAAGACAAAAAGGAAAAAAAAAAAGTAAGAGTAATGGTTACCAGAGGCTTGGAGGGGTGGAGATGGGGAGGGGGTAGAGATTAGGGGTGAACTAATGGGGACAAAACTATGTTATCTACTCGAAGTGAATCATTGTGTAAGATATGCATGTATTGAAACAACATACTATATCCCACAAAAATAAAACTGAATTAAAAAAAAAGATTTAACATCAGGTAAAGAAGATAGCCAATTATTTAGAATATAATTTCAATTTTATAAAAACAAACTATGTACACACATATGTAAAGTTCTTTTTTTTTTTCCTGACTGGTAAGGGGATTGTAACCCCTGGCTCAGTGTGGTCCGCACCACACTCAGCCAGTGAGTGCACCAGCCATCTCTATATAGGATCCGAACCCGTGGCCTCGGCGCTCCCAGTGCCGCACTCTCCCGAGTGAGCCATGGCGCCGGCCCCACACATATGTAAAGAAGAAAAAATACTGGCAAGAAATACACCAAAATATCAATAAAATAAATAAAATAAATAAAAATATCAAAATAAAATAAAAATAAATAAAATATCAATAAAATAAATAAAATATCCAGAGGTAATGGAATTAAAGATATTTTTAAAAAACTTTATTCTTTTCAAATATTTAATCAGGAGAGTGAAAAAAGTTTGGGAACAATTTACAACAGGAATACTTGATTAAATACTTGGCAAAACACAACAAAAGGTAGAAAAATAAAAGCACTGTCTGTTTAGCTCATTTGGGAGAGCAGGGTGCTGATAACACCAAGGTCAAGGGTTTAGATCCCCACACTGGCCAGCTGCCATAAATAAGTAAATAAATAAATAAATAATGTGGCTAACACTTTTACTATTACATTTGCCAATATAACACCTTATTCTTTAATAATTTGCCCTTTAGAGCACCTGAATGCTTTACCCCATATCTTTTATTGTTCATATGTTTATTATATAACAATTTTACCTGCATTATATCATATGACCTAAATAGCTCTTTGAAATTGCTATTATCGTTATAATTATCCCCATCTTTCAGATGAGAAAACCAAGTCTTGGAAAGAACGTGTATCTTGCCCAGGGTCAAGCAGAAGAGCTAGAACTCTGAAATCCTCAATGACTGACTGGACTGACAACTCAACCAGCTTGGTGATCCTAAGAAGTGAAGAAGTAGTGAAACTCAATTCTGATCACAGAAGAAAACAATGAGTATTTCTTGAGGGCAATGGAGGCTATTTTTTTCCTGTCTCTTTCTGTTTCTGTGGAGGTACAAGGATACAAGAAAGAATTCTGAAGCACAACTTCCAAGTAACTTAACACCTTCCCTCTGATCAGTCAGTAATCATTTAACCTTCTAACTGGAAGAGCTTTTGAAAACAAATTGATCAAAACTCTGAAGAATTAAAAGTCTTGAACATGGCCCAGTTTCAAGTTTTAATCAAAAATAGAAAATTGAGAAAGCCAAATGAAATGTTGAACTCAAATATTATAATTAACAATGATAGATTAAAGATAGGATTTAACAGTACCTACTCACCTTTATCCTTGGCTATTTACTTGAACAAGTTCTTGTGTTTTAAAAAATATATAATTGAAAGTTTATCCTTAGATACCTGAACAAATTCTAAGTTCTCTCTTTTTTAAAAAAAGTGTAATTGAAAAGAAATACAAACTACATTAACCATATCTACTTGGGAACCTGCCTATCATAAAGATCAGAGAACCATAGGAATGCCTTATTCATCTGTTTAATAGATATATGCCAACTTCAAACTTACTGTGACTTTATGAACTTGAGTTTGCAAGGCTACTGTTAAATGTCACAAAGTCCAGCAGAATAACACTCTCTGAATAATGGTAAACCAGGAATCAAGCCTCTAAAGGAAGTGAAATATCCAGGAACTCTTCTTAACAGAAATATCTGTTTATAGAAAGAACTGGCAGAGAAGCTGACATCAACAGACCACATTTCATACTCCAACGTTTCTACACCTTAACCCCTTAGGCCAAGAAGACATCCGTTAAGTTGAGGACAATTGATACCACCAAATGACAGTATTGAAGCTGAATACTAAGCCATTTTTTTCAGAGCCTGCAGGAGGGAAAGGTAACAATGGACGATTCAGTGAAAACACAAAATACACTGAATTTAGGTCAATCTCTTTCACCAAAATCTGAAAGTTGGTTTTACATACATTACAGGTCAAAAACATGAGGCTTAGTTTCCACAATGTAAATGTAAATGAGTGTTCTTGGCTAATTAATAACTAGAAAGATTTAAAAGTCAAGGATGAAAGAGAGTTGACCTAAATCAATATTCCTAACACATTAAAAAGGTTTTTCATATATATATATATATATACACATACATACATACATATAATATCTATGTGAGCATGAGTATGTTTTACAAATGCCAGAAAGCGTCTGGCAAAGTTGACAAGTTTTAACGTGCTTTAAAAATTACTATTCACTGCCTTCACCCCAATCTCACTTTATTTAATGTTACTTTTTTGGACAACTTTACAAAAACAAAACCCCCAGAGCAAATTCTTGTGCATTTCAATATCCTGCCTACTTATAAGAGCGGAAGAGTCAAACACTGCAGGGGAAAAAACGTGACGTGCACAACCTTGATCCAAAACACAGCTCGTCGTAGTCTAATTTTAGGCCTAACCATTTTGATTGTCTTTTTACAAAGATTAAAAAAGAAAACAAAAGTTGTAGATCACTTCACTTATAAAATAGAACTGAGATAATGATATCAATTGGAGTTGGTTATTTATTTAGGAGAAAACAAATCACACCTACACTGCCCACAGAGAATACCCATTAAAATTGAGATACAAGGATGGGGAGAACCTCACACTAACTGACAATGGCAATTACTTTATACACTTCAGTAGTTGGATGATTTTATCTTTAAAGAATTAGTCAAAAGGTTGAGCCCACAGAGGAATTTGTGGCAACATTTTGTGCGTGCGTGTGTGTTTCAAAGAAAGCCAAACATGGTGAAAAGCCGATCTTAACTTCACCTAGATTACCTAAAGAAGCAAATATTCACCTCCTGGATAAGATCAAACGAGATCTATGGGAACATCCAAAAGTTCTGTTCTTAAGCGGAGGCCCTCACCCCCCTGTATGTTTCCACCAATATAGGTTACAGATTGGAGTTGAGAAGAGTAAAGGGACTCGAGACAATATTCCTGAGCGATGAAATGAGTGAAAAGAGAGCCAGCAAGGACGGCTGAGAATCAGTAACAGGAAAAATCAAGGAACAAAATCCGAGAGGTTTGGTCCAGCATTAAAGTAAACAGAGAAAAGGAAGAGGTTGAAGTGCGAGGGAAGGGAACACCGAGGGACGGCAGAGCACGGTTGAGGGAAGGGCTGCGTCCAGGAAAAGTTAGACCTCATCGGCCCAACAAGCTTCCCATTTCGGGCTAAAGCCGGAGTAGAAAACAGCCCTAGGGAGCAGACAATGAGCCACCGCCCCAGGAGCAGCGGTTCCAAGCACGCAGGTGGAGGCTGCCCGGCCCGGCAGGGCAGGTCGGCTGTCCCGGCCGCCACCGCCTGCGAGGCCGCGGAGAAGGAAGGAGGAAGGAGAGAGACGGCCCGCGTCCCGGGCGGGTCTGCACACTTACCCCGGGCGAGGAAAGGTCCCCGCCCCAGCGAGGCGCCTCTGTCCGAGCTCCCGGCCGGCTGCGGAGCCGCCCCGGGCAAGCGCGCGGCGCGGGGAGGGGAGGGGAGGGAAGGGAAGGGAAGCGGGGCGGGAAGAGAAGCCGCGCTGAGCGCAGCCGCTGTTTCCGCTAGGCCGAGCGGCAGCGGGGCCTTGCGGGCGCCAGAGAGGGGAGGGCAAGGAGCCTTCGGCAATGGCGACGGCCGGGGCCGGAGGGGAAGCGGAACAACCGCCGCCGCTGCGCGTGGCCACAATCCTGGGGGAGGGCGACGGCGGAGAACGAAGAGAGGCGGGGCCTGAACACCGCCCCAAAGCCTGGAGCTCCCGGGGCGGAGACGATCTCGACCTCCCAATGGGCAGGCTCGCGCGGTGGCTGCCGGGAATTGTAGTTTACCGAGAGACACTTCTTCTTTCGTAGTCTTCGTATTGAGAACAGCCAGTCTCATTTAATTGAGCATTGCTTCCAGCCAGGTGTTTGCCAATCAAAGATGCTGACAGACGATTGCTATTATACAAATCTGCTCCAGGACATTTGTTTCTGAATTCATCCACTATCCGTTTTGCTTTTTTACCGACAAACTCTTAACAATACTTGTATTTTGCCGCTAAATTAAGTCCCACCTCCTTGCATATTAAGGCCTCCGCATTTAATTCACCGAGTTCACCAATGTATTCATTTATTCAACAAATATTTGAGTGTCTACTGTTAGGCACAAGGGTGAACATGATTCATCTTGACTTTGTGGAGCTTACAAATAGGAAGACACAGCAATTAAAGTAGTGATATTTGGTATGAGGAGAAACCTGGGGGAGATTACTTTGGATAGGGTGGCCAGAGTAGGCCTGTTTAAGGAAGTGACAGGGAGACATGCATAACACTTGTCTGCTTTACCCTGGTCTTGGTGTGTAAGGAAAAAGGAAAGTTTCCCTTTAGAATTCATAACCACAATGTTTCCCTCACATGGGCTTGAAAGTTCAAATTTATAGTACCTGCACTGTCCAGGAAACCTCAAGTGAAGAAAATGGTCCCAGGCTGGTTGTGCTTGAGGGTCTAGAAGGAACAAATACAAATCCTCACCACAAAGGTGCACCCTCAACCCAGGTCTCAAAGGATTCCACAGATAAATAGGATTTCCAAAGCCAAATATGAGCACCCAAAATATAATTACAATACCGCTGAGAAAATAAGCCACCATGACTGAGTCAACAGAAACTACAAAGAGAATAATAAAGCCATACAAACTTTAGATATTGGAATTACTGGTTACAGAATACAAAATAAGTTTATTTAAATGATTAAAGAAAATAAGACAGGGCCGAGCCTGTGGCGCACTCGGGAGAGTGTGCTCCCACCGCGGGTTCGAATCCTATATAGGGATGACCGATGCGCTCACTGGCTGAGCGCGATGCTGCCGGTCTCAAAAAGGACAAAAAAAAAAAAAAAAAGAAAATAAGACAGGAACTAGAAAACATGAGCAAGAAACAAAATACTATTTTTTTAAAATGAGCAAGCAGCTTTGAAAAGGAACCAAACAGAACTTCTGGAAATAACGTCTAATTAAAACCAAAGCCAATGTTTGGGTTAAATAGCAGATTACACACCTTTGAAGAGCAAATTAGTAAACTCGATGATAGTTCTAAAGAAATTACTGAGAGAAGCCCAGAAATAGAAAAAAATTCTGAAAGTTTAAGAGACATGGGTATAGATTGTAAAGGTCTTACCATACCCTCAATGAAAATTCCAGGAGAGAAAAGAAAGAAACCAAGAGAAACAATAGATGATGAGATCATGGCTAAGAATTTTCCAGAATTGATTAAAGACAAGAATCTTCATATTCAGGAAGGAAACTGAATACCAAGTAGGATAAGTAAAAGAAATCTTATCAAATACATCAGAGCAAAACTGCAGAATACCAGAGATAAAGCAACCAGAAAGAAAAGACAGTCCCTACAAAGAAACAATTATTAAATTCATAGCAGATTTCTCAACAGCAACACAATTGGTGTCAGTTGATAACGAAATAATATTTTCTTTTTTTCTTTTTTAAAAGATGACCGGTAATGGGGCCGGCCCGGTGGCGCACTGTGCTAGTGCGCCGCTTGAGAAGCGCGGCGGTGCTCCCGCCGAGGGTTCGGATCCCACATACAGACCGGTTCCCGCTCACTGGCTGAGCGAGGCGCGGGGGCAACACCGAGGGTTGCGATCCCGTTGCCGGTCCCGGTCCGGTACGGGGGCGACACTGAGGGTTGCGATCCGCTGCCGGACATGGAAAAAGAAAAAAAAAAAAAAAAGATGACCGGTAAGGGAATCCCAACCCTTGACTTGGTGTTGTCAGCACCACGCTCGGCCAGTGAGCGAACCGGCCATCCCTATATGGGATCCGAACCCGGGGCCTTGGTGCTATCAGCACCGCACTCTCCCGAGAGCCACGGGCCGGCCCCGAAATAATATTTTTGAAGTACCAAGAGAAAATAACCAAACTTAGAAGTGTACAACTAGCTAAATTATCAATCAGATGAGTAAAAGTAAAATACAGATCATCAAACAAAAACAGATGTTACCAATAACAGAGACCTATTAAAGGAACTCTTTAAAAGATACACTTCAGGAGAAAAGCGATCTCAGAAGGAAGGTCTGAGATGCAAGAAATCAGATCCATAGTTAATACTTACCACTGATTAGGACAATCCTGAAGAGCATACTTAGTCTACATTATTTCATTCTCTCACAGCCGACCAAACCCTACATTCACCTACCTGCTAATAGCATATTTTGTAAGTTTGAGGGATAATATAGATAAGTATTGTGACTTCACCCCAATTTTTCTATCCATATCATTATCAATCAGTATCAATTATCAAAATGTAGATGAGGGGCCGGCCCGGTGGCGCACTGGATAAGTGCGCCGCTTGGGAAGCGCGGCGGCGCTCCCGCCCGAGGGTTCGGATCCCACATGCGGACCAGTTCCCGCTCACTGGCTGAGCGAGGGGTGGGGGCAGCGCCGAGGGTTGCAATCCTGTTGCCGGTCCCCAGTCCGGTACGGGGGCAACACTGAGGGTTGCGATCCGTTGCCGGACACGAAAAAAGACAAAAGACAAAAAAAAAAAAAAAAAATGTAGATGAGTAGATTTAAGAGAATAGAATATCTGGCTATGATAATCCTTAAACTTATTATATTCTGAAATCATGAGAGCTACAACAGATCTTTCTAGTTCCCCAAACACATACCATCCTCCAAAAGATCTAGCTAAATAATATAAGTTCTTGGTAGAGTGGCTGCGATACAGACACATATACACACATTCACATCTGCTGCCCTGACATCGCCCTTAGCCAAAGTAACCTGTTTCTCTGTACTCTATGTCCAAAAGAACCAAACAGTACTTTGAGAAAAATAAATCATTAAAGTGGAATAAATACCGGGAATATAATGGCTAAAGAAACAGTACCCATTCTTTAGGCCTTGAAAAAGACCATACACAGAACTATAAAACATATTTAAAAAATAAAGTGCTTCTTCATTGTTTAAGTATCCAAAGAAGACAATATAAAGAGATCAAAATCAGAAATGTTCTATCAAAACTGACGTCATCTGTAACCATTTATCAGGCAAGAAGAGTCATATCAATGTTTTCTTCATTCACATTCACATTACAAATCTGAATACCTGTATAAATGAGTAAATGGCTGAATGATGTTTGAAACCACAGTCTGAAATATTAACTTGAAAACTTGTGTAAGTACTGATGAAACTTGGTTCTCACAGCTGGCTGGTTAGCTCAGTTGGTTAGAGTGTGGTGTTATAACCAAGGTTCGGATCTCAGTACCAGGCAGCCACCAAAAAATAAATAAATTAATTAATTAATAAACTTGGTTCTGATGAGCAAAAGAAAAAAAATAATATATACACATACCCACCACACTCCTGAGACGTTAACTATAACCTGTCTAACCATATTCCAAAATGTTGTCTATCAATGTTACTGAATGGTAACTGACATATAATTCCATTTTAATGCCACATTATTAATCCCATAGTGAAAGAAATGCTTTTAAAACATGGAATTCTTTCTTATAAGAAAACAAGAAACAGGTATGAAACTAGACTGAGTTAAAATTTTAGTCATTTTAAGGATCTCTAATATTTCTGCTTTATAGCATTGGGTTGCATTTTCCAATATTTAAGTCTCAGACATACCATTGAAAAGAACTGTTATGGCTAGGCAAGCCATACACATCAAATCATGAAAGATTTATTCCTATAAAAACACCAAAATGTTTTAGAAAACTAAGCAGTGATAACACATATAAATGCATATCACATCCCCTTACTCTGTATAAAATAATGCCAACATGCCCTGGTTTATTGGCTTCAGTTTTGGAACAGCCTTGCCCTAAAGTTTTATTTTTTAATTGGTCTATGCATTTTATTTTCTATCTTTTCCCCAGGTATAACAGTAAATCAAGGCCCTTTGTTTAAAAAAAAAAAGTCACCTGAAGATTCTATTTTTTTAATAAATACACAACTTAAAATATATTCTTTAAAATGACAATCTGAGGGCCGACCCCGTGGTGCACTCGGGAGAGCGCGGTGCTTGGGAGCGCAGTGGCGCTCCCGCCGCGGGTTTGGATCCTATATAGGGATGACTGGTGCACTCACTGGCTGAGTGTGGTGCGGGCAACACCACGCCAAGGGTTGCAATCCCCTTACCGGTCACAGAAAAAGACAAAAAAAAAAAATTAAAAATAAAATAAAATTAAAAATAAAAAATAAAATGACAATCTGAGTTGTCTTCCTGACAAACTCAGTACTAAATTGGTTCTAAATCTTAGTACTCAGTTTCATCAAGCCCTTTGCCAATTCATACATTCAAAAGAAATATTATAAAACATAAAAGGAGAATGGAGGTGTTTTAAAGAATAATCACTTTTGATATTAATAATTTCTTAACTGTCCTACTTTAATGTTTTTTTCTGGTTACTCTGAAGAATGGCTTTAATTCTCATGAAATTAACATTTAAATAAACCTGATTTTCATCCAAATTATTTTATTCTTTTTTTTTTTTTTTGTCTTTTGTCCTTTTTTCCGTGTCCGGCAACGGATCGCAACCCTCAGTGTTGCCCCCGTACCGGACCGGGGACCGGCAACGGGATTGCAAACCTCGGCGTTGCTCCCGCGCCTCGCTCAGCCAGTGAGCGGGAACCGGTCTGTACGTGGGATCCGAACCCTCGGGCGGGAGCGCCGCCGCG